TAAAGAAAGTGTTTGTGATAGAAATACTATAAAACTATTTGATCTTTAACAAATTCAATTGGTTTGTTGTATCAGTTTTAATAAAAGAACCGCATGTATTATTCAAATATAAACTGTATATTTATAGAAATAATTGATTGCTCTAGGATTATTCTATGATGTAAATTATTGATTAATTTAATTATTGTAAGTGAAGAATTGTACGCAATAGATGAAAAGCACATCGATATTATTCAATTACGGAATCTGTCACGCAAAAGGTGGATCATCGACCTTCCTCATAAACTATTATGCAATAAACATCGTAGTGTGCAAAGTATTAAGCTTACTCATTTAACCGTTGATATAAATATAAAAATAAAGAAATAAATAAATATGTTGTGCGAACTTAAATCGCTTCATTCATTCATATTAATAAGGTTTCAATTGTGTTCGAAACAAGATTATCTTTGCGTTTTATTGTCAATGAATAGCCGTGATTCAGGATGAAAGCCAATGAACTGACGACTATCCTCCCATATCTACAAAAGTTCGCGTTTTCTTTGTTTTTTTTTCTTCTTTGTTGTTTTTCCAATATAAAGCGCGTCCTTCGTTGGATCGGCCCCGAGTTTTGCACCTCTTTTTCTGTTTCGTTTATCTCGTAGCCCATTCGTCACATTTCGCCCAATCGGAGCCGCTGAACTGATGCCTTCATAAATCTCCACCAATCACATCCAATAGTAAAAAAAAACTAGTTTGTATATTAATACAATGTTGCAGTTTCTTCAGCTATTAGTATCACTTTACGAATAATAAGTTAATTATTTTATATTATACTGTTTTTACAAATGCAATTATTTAGTCTCATTTAATTAATAAAACGTATTTTTTTAATTGATTTTCATTGACGGTCTTATTTATTAATTTAATTTATTTTTCTTATTTTGATAATCAATAAAATCTAATTTAATGCGAAATTTGTATAAATAATAAAAAAGGAAATTAATTTACTTTATAATTATTTTTTATAAAAACAATTAATAATGCTGAATATGAAATCGGCATGAAAAGAAACTAAATTATTGTTTTTTTTTTCATTGAAATTATTAAAGCGTATTGTTTCTTAGCTTTTGATAGAATTATTGGAAATTACAGCTCTTTCAAATTCTAAACAATCTCGCTCTCTGCATTATTTATGTAAACGTGTATATTGACATCAGATAAAGGCCACGATCCATGACGCACGTGAAAACGAACACCGCAGCCCGCGCACTGTGATCGTATTTCATTTAGATTTTACACCTTTTCAGATGATGCAGTGAGATGCTTCGCAAACAGAGATTATTTACTTTTCGATGATGTTTGTTTATTTATTGCGTTTTATAGCAATACCTTACATAGTGCGGTTTCGATCAGTCCAGAATTACTATACAATACATATAGAAATAAAGACGAAAAAAAAAATATTTATTTAGAATTTATTTTGCTCAAATTTAAACTTTTCCCAAACTTTTAGTAGCAGATATGAATATAGACTAGAATCACATACTAATGTTCTGGATATTAATCTGCTTGATAACACCAAAAAATAAATAAACTTAAGCGTTACAAATAACTAGACTTAGTAAATTATTATTATTAATGTTCATAATCATAATAATGGTAAACATCCAGCGAGAAAGTTTATTCATTTAATGTCACCCGCAACCTAATTTACTTATTTTTCACACTGAATAGATTGTAAATCAAATTATTACGAAACAAAACAAAAATTTCAAGCGAATGCAACGCATACATATTTAAAATATGGAAAAGTTGAATTGGAAATTGCGGAACTTTATTGCCATTGCGATCGATCCTCCAATTTAATTACTTCCGTAAGTAGGTTATACAATTCTGTGTTCCGTTGTTTGTCGCTGCACGCTTTATTTTCAGCGAGATTTAACGAAACCCGGAGGTTCTCAACTTCCTACAAAGTAGTTATAATCTTGATGTTTAACTATTTGTGTTTAACGTTGCCAACCGCATTATTCCTGTTTCGATGACAAAATGATAGTTACATCTTCAGCTGTGATTGAAAGAATACAGCAATACTTTGCGGGTAATCGGTTCCGTGTTTGAAATCTGGACTAAACAAGGAACTAAATATAATAGAAATAAACCACTGATTACTATCCGCGTTTTTTGTATTTTATTTTTTTCCGCAATTTTGTGATTCGCATGTCTTTTTCTTGCTCTACAAACATATCTGCTTCAATTTTTCGAATTGGTTAATTTTAATCAATTTTCACTCCTTTGAAATGGAAGTAGCAGGAGACAAAAAACAACTTTTAGGCTTTATTCCACTTTATTCATCAACGTAGTTTCTTTCAAGAGTGATACATTCATTCCAACTCTTCTCCACTTCTTCCTTGGAGCCAAATCTTTTTCTCGTGGGCATTCTTTTTAGGTCTGCAAACAGGTAGTAGTCGCTGGGAGCCAGATCTGGAGAATACGGTGGATGGGGAGGCAATTCAATGTGAAATTCGTGCATTTTTTCCTTCGTTTTGATCGACTTGCGATACGGTGCATTTAAGCAAACGAACACAGCTTTCTCATGTTCAAATGTTCATGCAAAATGGTGAATACATTGCCTTCTGATATCTTCAGGGTGTCAGCTATCTCACACAACTTCAATTTACGATCGACCAAAACCATTTTGTGGACTTTTTAACAAGCCAATGCTTTGCTTGAACGGTTTTTTTTTTCATCAACACACGAAATTCAGATTTTTACATTGTTTTGAAAATTACAAAAGTAGCGTCACTAAAACCACTGTAACTTGTGAACTAAACGTCAGATTGCCTTACAATTTTGACAGGCGTCGTCTGAAGGTTGGTACTTCCTAAAAATTATATGGATTTGTCGATAGAGGCGCCATCTATATTTCATCCTACGAACTTATTAAGAGAGGTGTTATGTATATATATATAATTAATACATAACATGAAAAGCACAGCTACTAAATCTAATAGTGCTGTAACAGATAATTAAACAGGTAAAAACGAGGCAATTACGATTTGTTGGCAACGAATGTTGCTTCTATTATTATGATTGGGTGCATCCATATTACGAATCTTTCGCATTCATTTGAATAATTCATGCTGTCGTGCGTTTAGTTTTCTGATTTACGTTTCACTCTCTGTTAAATTTCTGCCAGTTATTTACATAATACTCCTATACATTACCATCCGAACATTCAACAAGACATGAAAACGGAGTTACGAAAAGGAATGATTTGTTCATATCGGACATGCAATTTAATAAACGCGCAATCGATACATTAGCAAATTAATTTTAAAAGACGAATACTTTACATTCGGTGGTAAAACTGTAAAAGCAATTTGATTGGCGTATTTCCAGAGTTTTAGTGAACATAAAAGTTTTGCGCCGAGCGTAAAACGAAAATCGATAATTTAAATTTAGTTAATACTGAAGTTTTCATATTATCTTGTTAAAGAATTATCTTAAAGTTTGAGATTAATTTTGTGAAAGTAATTCAATATTAAATAATATTCTATTTTTGATGCATGCTATACATTTTTGTTATTATTATTAATATGCAGTGGAAATTGTATACAAATAAAATATAAAAGTAAAATACGGTTTTTATGAAATTGTATATAGGAAGTGAAAAATGGTAACGATAAAAAGAAGATGTACTTCTTAGAAATTCACGATCGTTTCAAGAATGCTCGCAACAATCGCTCAAATATGACGTAGCAAGCTTGTATACAAGCATGTAAAAGTGTATTGAAAATATGCTCTGAATTTCTTCTAGGCGTCAACTTCTACATAATTCTTCAGAAACATCAACAACGAGATGACCTAGTTTCGGATAAATTCAGCAAAAAATATGTATATATAGAAAGAAACCAATAATAATGTAATAAAATGAGATAGCCCTAAAACTTTGAATAAATAGACTAGAACGAAACTGTTTTCCTCGTGCCTAGACCTAAATATGATTGAATAAGTTAGAGCTAAATTGATCAAGATTCATGTTGTGAGTATTGATTTTTTATTGAAGTTATATTTAGAAGAAACTAAACAATCTGATTTTTAAAAGTTTCTTATTTGTAATTCTTCTAATGTGTTATATATTACTGTGACTAATGTAGTGTTAAGGATCACTGAACTTTGATGAAATAAGAGTGACTGCAATCAAGCAGTAGAAACAATGCGAAAATGAAAAAAAAAATGGTCTGATAAAATCATTTGGCGTTAAATTCCATTTACTTGATGAACGCGGCTCGCTTTATCAAAACGTAAAGCGTGAACACACAGTAGTCGGATATCTCTCGGAATTCCTCCACATATGACCTATTTCACTTGGATTAAGTGTAGTAAAAAATAAATAAGTTAATGGTGTGTGCGTGTTGAGGAACGCCAGTACAAATGTAATGTGGATGCGAGTAGTGGTTTTTTTTTATCAGGCAAACGAATATTTAATTTTGTTCTGTCGCCAGATAAGGTATCACAGCAGTTCACATTTCATTTATTATATTTATACTTTGCGATGTGTGTTTAAAGTTGTTAAAAAGTTAAGTAGAGAGTAAGTAGGAAAGCCAAACGCAAACAAAACTACAACCTGCCTACTTACTACTTAACTAGTTATGCTGTCTCCGTTTGAAGGCCTTGACTCCACCATAATAACATTTTATTTATAGACTATTTATATTTGTATCTTTATACACATAAATACATTGGCCGGAGTAGGATTTACGCATCTATTTACAAGTATCGATACCTTTTTACGTTAGTGTCCTATTTGTTGGAAAAGCGGATTATATATAACAATTTTGTAAAAGCTAAACTTTTCATTTGCTATATAAGTATCAAGATTTAAATATTTTAAAGGTATACTCAAATTTGTGGGCGTGAAGTATTTATGTTTTCTATTTTCTTTTCACAAATCCTAGTCAGATAAATTTTCTTGTATTTTATAAAGAATATTATTTATTTTTGTTTCTTTCTTGCAGATTGGATTAACTAGTTTGCAGATGATCGACAGAGGTGCCGTCCGCATTGCCGAATGCAACCAGCTTTGTTTCGTGGAAACAGTTGCATGGGACAAGCTGGGTACTACCCTGGAATACATCAATCCCTTTCCTCACACGTGTCCGACGTGCTCATCGAATTGTACACGTGAGCAAGCAGTTCAAACTATTTCCATCAAGTATCAAATATTTACGTTACAATTGTTTTGTATTCTCTGTTTACATCAGATTGTTGGAACGGTGACAAGTGCCAAAACATGGAGCGTACCATTTGCATGGAATACCAGGACGAAGGCAAATGCGTTCCACAATGTCCTTCGACTAAGTATAAGTTATACATGCGCACTCTTTCGATGGAACAAGTGTTCTGAATTTTGGCAATTGTTGCAGGTACAAACTGAATTCGGGCAGTCGCTGTCTGACTGAGAAAGAGTGCTACGCCATCGGATCACGGGACAACGTGTGGTTCCCATTCGGTGGGAACTGTTTGAACAAATGTCCACACAAGTACCAGCAAGTGAACAAGGCGAGTGGATGGTGTCGTTATTGCGGGGAGAACTGCATTATCCGATGCGCGATGAATAAAGGGGATGAGGTGAATTCGCTGTCGACTGCCGAAAAGCTGGAGGGATGCACTCACATCGAAGGGAGCCTGAAGATTCGCGTGACCAGTACCAAAATGGCCGAAGAGATGGAGACGCATTTGGGCAGGATTAAGCGGATCTCCGGGTACCTTTTGATCTACCGCTCGCATTTCCTTCAGAATTTGAACTTCCTCAAAGACTTGAGGGTCATTGAGGGGAAGATGCTCGAGGGTGGCATCAAATCCTTAATAATACACAACAACCAGGAACTGGTGCAGCTATGGGACCACGAGGACATTCGTATTTTGAAAGGAAGAATCTCATTCCACGACAACCCTAAACTATGTCTGCAAGTCATCGAAAAGTTTTCGCTTCTCAGCAATATCACGTACAATACCAAGGATGTTTCACCATACTCGAACGGAGAGGCACAATCGTGCAAGATCACCGAATTCAAAATTGAATTCATAGAGATCAATCCAACGAACGTGGTGATGAGGTGCGAGGAGATCATAAAGACTCAGCACACGAACGGTTACTTCATCTACTTCCGTGAGGACACCGGCGAGGACATCACGTTCTACACGGAGTCATGCGATGATAACGGATGGAGCTCTGTATTCACCAACGACAACATCTTCGTTATTAACTCACTTAAACCGTACACCAAGTACGCGTACTATATAAAATCGCGCGAACCGCGTTTAGTGCACAGCAGGCAGACAGACATCAAGTTCTTCCAGACGCTCTCCGAGGATCCTTCGCCGCCCGAAAAGATTACCGTCATACCTGATACCTACAATAGCATACGGTTATCGTGGCAGCCTCCGTTGGAGATTCGAGGTCGTCTCTCGCATTACGTAATCTACGGATACCCGGAGTACCAGAAAAAGTCCTTCATTGACCAACGGAACTATTGTAGGCATCCAATGAAACCCAACTACCAGAAGCGGGACAGTTTCGTGAAGATGATGACGTCCATTTCCAATGGTACGTGTGAATGCGAACCTCTGAAGGTGAAGGAAAAGGAGTTCGAGCCGCTGTGCACGAGCTTAATCGATAGCCAGAACGCGAAGCCGTGCAAGAACGAGTTCGAGTACGCTTTCGGAAAACATCACGCGCGTTATCAGAAGACCAAACGAAGCGGATCCCAAAATAAAAACTCTTTCCTGCACAACACCACAAAAACTAGTTTTTTAGTGCAGAACCTGCGTCACTATACCAACCATATATTCATGATATCGGCGTGCAATGTGCGACGTGGCACTGAAGATCAGTGCAGTGAAATCATAATGGTTTACAATAAAACTCTGGCAAAGCCGGATGCGGACGTCATCGATGATTTTACTGTGGCGATTGTCGAGGGTAATAACGTGATCGCAAAGTGGTCGGAACCGGCTCAGCCGAATGCAGTGATAATATCCTACCAAATAGAGTATAAAAGCAGGGACGCGGAGAATGCAGAGACAAAACCCATTTGCATAACGAGAAAGAAGCACGAGGCGAACAATTTCATGTATAAGTTGACTCACTTTTCACCGGGTTCTTATTCGATACGGGTGCAGGCTACGTCACTTGGAGGTCCTGGACCTTTCACTCCTTACCATCAATTCCAGATCATCATGCCAAGTGATAATTCTCTCCTCATTGGGGTTTCGGCCGTTTTCTCTATCATCGCAATAGCTGCATTGTTTGTATTCGCTTGGTTTATAAGATGGAAGAGGAAACGACGACCGGAGAACCATCAGTTGATCAAGACTATTAATCCGGAATACGCGACTTCAAGCTATATCGAGGACGAATGGGAGATCGACAGAGACAACGTGGAAGTGATCAGTGAACTAGGAAAGGGTACCTTCGGTATGGTGTATAGTGGTTTGATCAAATCCAGAAACATGCCGTGTGCTATAAAGACTGTGAATCCGGGCGCCAATCAGGATGATAGAACAGAGTTTTTAAATGAAGCTTCGGTGATGAAGTCGTTCAGTGGTGCGAATCATGTAGTTAAATTGTTGGGTGTTGTGTCACGCGGACATCCATCGCTGGTACTGATGGAGTTGATGTCCTGCGGCGATCTGAAGACATATCTGCGGAAATCGAGGGATTCCTCGCAAAGCATCACCAGCAACGAGATGTACAGGATGGCTGCAGAGATTGCCGATGGAATGGCCTATTTGGCTGCCAAGAAGTTCGTGCATAGAGATTTAGCAGCGAGGAATTGTATGGTCGCCGCGGATCATACCATAAAGATTGGGGATTTCGGCATGGCTAGAGATATTTATGAGACTGATTATTATAGGAAGGAGAGCAAAGGTTTACTGCCGGTGCGATGGATGGCGCCGGAGAGTTTGTCGGACGGCGTTTTCACGACGGATTCGGATGTATGGAGTTATGGCGTGGTCCTTTGGGAGATGGTCACCTTGGCCGAGCAACCGTACCAGGGGATGGCTAATGAACAAGTGTTCCAGTTCGTGGTCACTCACGGGACACTCCAAAGGCCTTTAGATTGTCCCGAGCTACTTTATGACATAATGGCTGCGTGCTGGAAGTGGCATCCAATTAGAAGGCCTGTGTTCATCAACATCGTGAAGATGCTGGAAAAGTACGTAGGAGTGACCTTCCAATTGGTTTCCTTTTATCATAGCAAAGAGGGTCAGGACTACAGATTGAATGCCAAGCCGCGACCTAATAATCCTCCGGCGCGGTCGGGCGGTCTAATGGAGAGTAATCTTCTTGCTCGATACAACGCCATGGACGATGACGTCCACCTGTCAACACATCCAGCCGATGAGGCACATCCAAGTTCCTACTCACACTTGAGAGATAACGTAATGTCCGACAACAGTCTTGACTCTCGTTCTTCGCCCACCGATTATTCCCTCTATCACATGTCGACTCCTTGATTATCACACACACAAACACACTCATTCATACATACACACACACATACACATACCCAACCCAAATAGAAAGAAAACAAAGACTACCTCCATTGCATAAATTTATATATATATATAGGATTAATTCTTGTTACCTGACGAATTTTAACGAAGCCTTTGTTTACGGATTTATTTTATATATATACCATATAATGTAAATGTATTAAACTAAATGTGATATATTTTTAGTCACTAGAGTGTATATCAATGATGTTGTGCTGCCAGTTGGACCATAATATCCTTATATCTTTATATATTTTTTACTCTCAACTACTATTTGTTCCTTTGATTATATAATAATTTTATTGTTAATTCTGTATTGTTCCACTATTTCTTGTTCAATTTTCGTTTTGATTGTTTTCGGTTCCATTCTGATTAACAGTTGGCATCAGTGGCGTCACTCAACTTTAGTCACCAAAAAAAATTCAAAAGCGCCACTGTTACATATCTTTAATTTTTATTTTTCTTGCTAACTTACTTTTAACGCGCCACAATGTACAATTATTACCAGAGAGTTTATCGATACAAAGAGAGGATTGGAATCCTATATGTAATTTATATATAATATATGTTGACATATATTACATATAGCATATTTAAATATTGTAGTAATAATACTTTAAATATATATATATTTGTCAATTCTGGATAAGAGATGAGGAAAACATAATAATAGTTCGTTCGGTGTACATTGACTTATATTTTTGTTGACGAGACTACATTTTATAAGCATAATAATTTCGATAAATGTTTTGTATTACAATTTTAAAAATAAAACCAATTCGTGTTTCCGTCATTGTCCTTTATTCAACTCCCTGAGAATATAACTGTTTATTTGTATTTTAAATAAAGCAAAACCACGTTCGTTATACCTGAACTTAACCAAAAGTGGACGACCTAATAAGACGTGATTTCCAAAAGGAAACTACACTTTTCGTCGTATTCGTAAAAAAATAAAACGTATGATGTAACGGACCAAAATGCAATTGTTATTATTATTATTATCAAAATGTCAACTGCTTGATGTTTCCGTCTCTTTCGAGAAAGGTTAATTATTTGAAAGTCGTAAACCTACATAACACGAAACGGAACGCACGCCGCATTCCCAACGCAATTACAATTAAACGCGGAATTTATTTTCATTTCTTGTCTGTTCCGAATAACAATAATATAAAAAAATAATATACGCAATTTTATCCCAGGTTTATGTTAGGCTAATTCATAAACGATTGGCAGATGGTGATCCGATTATATGTCAACGTCAACTTTATGTCATTATTCAACTTGATGGTTTTTTAACATCCGCAAAGAATTATCGTCTCCTTGGCCAAACTATAAATCATGAGATAATCTTTATCTCATCCAACTCTAGAATTTTCTATCAATTTTATAAATTCAAACGAACAAATATTTCAATGTTTGCAATTATAAAACTTTAATAACAATAACAATAAAAATGGATTATAATTATTTATATATTGTATAATTCTATTAGATTATAAAAGTAAATATCATCTAATGAAATCGTGTGGCTATGGTCACCTGTATCACGAAAATCTGATACAAAAGGTAGTTGGTTGGATTCCCAAAAACTATGTGTGTGGGCCCCTTAAACTAAGGAAAAATTAATGAAATAAGTACGAATATTCAGTATATTGAGTACTAAATCTATTAAATTATCTAGCAGAAATTATGAATAAAATAAATGTGTTTTAAAATTTCATAACTTATGTTGAATATATGTTTTTAATGCAATTAAAATACAAAAAGAAGATGTTTAGAAAAACAAGTCTCCAACTGTTCGAATATCGAATCCTGTTTTCTCAGGAAATTTATAAATAATACATATTATTTATTAATAACGGCATTTCTATTCCGGCAGTTTTGAATTATTGCCGAAGTGTATAAGTTTTCTTTATAGAGAAATTGGAATTTTAATCATGTTTTCTCTATATCGGAATATAATTTGATTTATCCATTAAATTGATTATCTTAATTACTCTTGACCTAAGTTAATCTAAAAAGTATCCAAAATTTGTTTACAACTAAAAAATGAAATAAAATGAGAATGAATTTATCAAAAAAAAAAAAAAAATTTTAAAATATATTTGAAAAACACGTATTTACTTTCAAACTTTGACAAACTTTTCATATTTTGATTATGAACATTCGAAGTCAAATATATTTGATAAATTACAATAAATCTTAGTGAAAAAAAAAAATAAAAATCTGTTGGCTATTAAAATGATCATATAAGTATGTTAAATTTACAAAGGCAATTTATATATTGTTTTTCCAGAGTGAACGAACATTAACGCAAAGTCCGTAAACCTGATTTACAATTTTACGAGTGGAAAGTGCATTTGCTGCAGCATCGATAAACATTATATTATTTTGTGTATGTGTTGTTATTGTGCGTACTTGTTTTCGCCATAAAAAATATTTATTAGTCGTCAATAAGACGTGCATGATGTAAATGCATCGGACCGTATCTCGTTCCATTTTGTTTTAAAGTCATAAAATGTCAATGCCAACTTATTTATGCATATTTATATATGTGTTTATTTATATATATATTTGAACATTTCTACCATAACACCAGAATAGAGAATGATTTCATGTAGAAATATTTAAAAAGAAACTAAGTGGGAAGTTAGTTTTTACGCAGTGATCTTAAAAATAAGTACCGTTATTTAAGCATTTCATTTTGTTGTATCTAATATTGAAGAGTATTCGAATAACACATTTTTCTGTTTATTTAGAAAGTTATAATACACTATTATTTAGTGAAGAGTTTAGTGTTTGAAATGATTATGATATATGAAATGCGCATTATTTTATGTAACCACTGCATGTTTATTGTAGGCAACCAAGTCGACACGTAAAGTATTAAGACGTTGGTTACATGATATAAGGAAGCGCAGATTGTGTTTCTAGATGACTAAAAATAATAATAGTGAAATTAATTGCTAAAATAAAGAAAGAAATAAGCAGTTTTCACCATATCGTGGGTCTTGAATTACGCTGCATAAATAAATGAATTGAATTACATCCAAGTTGAGGACGTAATGGAAATAGTTTCTTTTATTGCCATCACTATCAGCGTAATTGTTTATATTCGTGCCTTTTGCGGCTTCTCTACAAGAAAAAGAAAACCTGAAGTGTAAACAATGGCAGCCATTTATCTCCACGGCCGTTGTTATTACAGAGAGAGAACAAAAAAAGAAATTACGTAAAACTATTCTTTATTAGGTAAATTCACTTATTTAGCAGTTTCGTAACTCGCAAACAAAGTAATTGCAAAATGCGAACGTAGGTGGTTTCAATCAATTTGAATATGAATTAGATGTTTTTTAATTTTCTAATTTGTTGTGCGTTGCGGAAGAATACTTACTGAAGAGTTTACAGGTAAGATTAATTAACGATTTATTTGGTGCCACTAAATTTTACACAGAATAACTGACTAGGGTCGAAGACTATATGACGGGTTGTCCGCGCTTGTTAGAGGCGGGAAATTCAAATTTGCGGCGTCGTCACTATCGTGGGTGGATGGATATCTGTAACGTGCTCGCTGACAGTGCTCACTTTTAACGGCAGCTCTGTGGGATGTTCGTGTTCGTGGATCAACCAACAGGGGTCGTCCTTGTACGCTCCGTTGCGACTTTGTCCGGAAGTCAATGGGCTCGAAACAAACAGACCTAGAACAATTCGAATTAACTTCGAAGTTTTGCAAACTCTCTTTTCGCACACCGAACATTTAACACAGAAAGAACGAAAAATAAAAAGAAAGTGCTCGAACTTAAATATTAAATCCTTTACCGAAATGCACGTTTCCTGACCGTAAATTTTTGGCCATTCCCCCAAGATGTTCTCTTTGCGGGTCTCCACGACTTCGTGGATGGACCAAGAGGAATCGTCTTGGAAATACAAGACGTCGTCAACGCTTTTTACCATGGATCCTGCCACAACGGTTAGGTTTTCACTGCTTTCGCATCGATCGAAATCTATTAAGAAGGAAAAACGGAACAAAGAAGCGAGTAATCACCTGTGAATAGACCGGAAACTATCGCGATTCCGAGCGTGCAACCAAGGGCTGCCAACTGATATCCTGCTTGCTGAGCGGACGTCCTTCCTAATCCACCTTCGAGCAGTGGGTATTCGTCGGTTGCCTTTAAATCAGGAGAAGCCATGGCAGGAAAGATTTGATACAGTCCCATTTTGTAGGAGTCCTCGCTGGCTAAGAAGGCGAAGAGAGCTCCTCCTGCTCCAGCCAATAAAGCAGGCATTCCATGCAAATTGTGCACTCCGCAGGTATCCTTAACCTTCAGTTTATTGTCAACCCATGGCTGCAAAAAATATTTCAAGTACTGTTAAATCTATTATTGTAATTGCTGTTGAACTTACGGTGATGAAGCAGTAACCGATGACTGAAAGGACTCCGGCCATTGAACCGATGATGAGAGCTCCGAATGGTTGCACCATCAAATTGGCCATTGTTCCAATAGATACTCCACCAGCTAAAGTGGAATTCTGGATGTGGACCATATCGAATTTGTGGTGAGGCGTGAAAGCCGATGAAAATGCGTAAGCAACCACGCAACTTGCTGTTAACGACAAGTACGTGTTGATGATGGCTCTGTGCTGAGCATCGCCTTCCAATTCGGCCGAGTTGAAGCTGGGCCAGAAAGCCCACAAAAATACAGTACCTAAATAAGTACCATTAATAATTTCTGATCAAAAGTTTTTTTTTATAAATTATAGTCGTTAGTTTTCTAAAACAATTTTCAAAACGCAGAGAAGTAGTATTTAAAGTATAACGAGAATAACTGAAGAATCTGTTTATCGTTTGAAGAGGATGAAGATGATGTATACTCACCGATCATAGCAAACATATCGGACATATAACTAGATGCTTCCATGCTGCGTTCTTCATCGGTTAACTTTTGTTTCCTTGTAAGGACGAAGCTCACGGCTAAACCGAAGTACGCACCAAATGCATGCACGAACATCGAGTCACCAGCATCAGTGACCTATAAACAAAATCTAAATTGTAAACATTTTCCTATAATTAAATGTTTAAAACGAGAAGTTCAATTTATTGAAATTGAAAAGAATGAAATTATTCTGATTTTTTTGAGTTTGAAACGAAGCTTAATTTGATTCTGAATCTATTTGGAAATATGATAATTATAAATCTGCATGTAATTTAATAAAAAGTGTGTAACTCACGATGAAGAATTTGGCGGCTATGTATTCGTTGAATGAGAAGAAAGCTATTTCCAAGAGACCCATGAAGATGAGCTGCATATGTGAGGTTCTACCCAGGACGGCGCCCATCGAGATGAGAACGGTGGCAACAGCGACGTCTCCTTTCAGCAGACTGCGAACCAAAGAAACAAAGCCAAAGGCTTTCCAATAATAACGACCCCGTTCTTATATATATATATAAACTTCTATATCAAAGGAGGATTCCTTCTTTGTGCACCATCAGACACCTTCCATTATTTACCTTCTCGCATTGTTACACACTCTCTTCCCGGCAAAGAAAACAACTACCACCACTGTAACTACAACAGCAACATACAATTCCTTTATCTCTCTTCACTAATATTTCAGAGTTCCTCCTCATCGCAGTTTTCACGTCCACCTCAAAATCTTCGGCGTCATACTAGAGCGAGGGCTAATCAGCGCGCAAAAATTTCGCGGATCAATAAATCCGACGAGGGAAATCAACAAGTTCACGTGATTAACCCACTTGGAGGAAACCAAATAACTTTACGTGACTTTGAGCGTCGCTATCTGCATGGTGCATGTGTTAGGAAATAAATTACTGCACATGATTTCCCTGTCACAAAGTTATTAAAGTTCTCGCTCGATTTTATTTACGCATCTCTTTTGTCTGGACGATGCGAATGCAATTTACAGGTCGTAAATAAAGTGGGTCATGAAAAGACAGGATAAGTGGGGAAATGGTGAGAGAGTGAGAGAGAAAGGGGGAACAGGCAATGATTGGAATATGATTGATACGCTCTTTCTCGTACTTTTCAGGGTAGATGTTGAACAACGGAATTGTATGGAAATCGTATTGATTCATATTCGCCGGGATTTGCGATTCCAATCGAAGATATTATTTGACGTGAACATATACTTCTACAGACGTGTTTATAAAACCTTTCATTTCCAACATTCGCTTTCCTAATTATTCGAATTTGTTACCTTAACTCAACATTTTTCGCTATCACAAATCATAAATTTTAATTATTTAATCCTTTTTAACTTATTTGAAATGTTTAATTTTGTTTCTAAGTTGTTAGATTATCATAATTAAGTAAAGTAATCTCTTAAATAGACTTAATAGAAATTTTACAAAGTTTACCATCAAGATTTCTATAAAAAAGCTTTGTATTTCAGCGAAGTTAAAAAAAATATTTATTAATGTATTTTAAGTTCTAAAAGTTACAAATTAGATATAGTAACTGTTATTGAGCAAAAGGTATAATTTAATAAATAGATATATTTATAAAAATCATACGTTTTAATATTAAGTTCAGTAATTGTTAAAGGAAATAGTGGAGGAGTATTTTTTTAAGCATTAATCAACAAAATGGGGGGAAAAGTGGGGAATTCTCATTTGGAAGAAGTAAGTAAGAAATTAGGATAGTTCTGAGAATGGTTCGAAGTGGTTTCCGCCATATCGCTGAGAGTTTGGGATTTGCATTAAAATAAACTTAAGATAAAATCTGTGTTCCAAAGTCCGTTAATACAATCAATGGCATATAAATTTTAATAACTTCTCCGGACGCTTCCGGAGTTGCGATTTGTTTTCGCGCGCAAAGCGGAGTTTAATGTAGGGTCACAGAAATTGACTCTGCTGCAATCGCCACACTCGCAGTTTCTGTATGTATGAGAGAGAGACAAAGAGGAAGAGACACAGAGAACGCTTATTACCAGGATTCCGGATTAATATGGGTAAACTTTCTCGGGCCAGAATCCCACCTAAAGCATTCAGAGATGATGCTCCTGTATGTGTAGTAGTGTGGTGGTAGCAAGCTAGAGACTAAGTAAGTGATAATTTTACCTCACTATGCTGATTGGTATCTTGTAGTTCTCGTCCATGTGATAAAAGCCGTTGCAGAGGATGGCCCATTGGACGAGGAGTGCTGCCACCAGGAAATTAAATCCCACCGCGCTGAAGCCGTACCGTTTCATGAATGTCATCAGGAAACCGAAGCCCACGAAGATCATCACGTGCACATCTTGGAACACTGCAACATAATTTCATAATTTTGTAATCATAATAATAGATCGATTTGGATTTAATGGTTTTAATCAATGTAGTTGAAACTTCAGTTTACAATCACGTAAAGTTGTTACAAGACAATTATTTGGAAATTACATCTAAAAATTGCATTGACTAAGGCACATTATACTAAGTTATAACATGTATTGAAAGTTTTTGAGATCTACATAATTACTGATTCAGATCTTATAAAATCGAATTTAGTTATAAAGAATGTATTTTTCTTTAAATTAACAATATCAAAAAAATTCAATATTTGGATGAAAAGAGTAAAAATTTTGATTTTGAAATTAATTTAAGAATTTCCTATATTATCAATGAGTTTAATTATTTAATTATTATGCATTGTTATGAAATTATAACTGAATACAAATGTAAATTTATTTCTGACAAAGAAGGAATTTGATAATTTCATTATTATGTAACACTCACTTAACATAGTCAATTAATGGTTTAACGAATGAAGTTAAAGGCGGTAAGACTTAGAAAACAAATTTTAAGATGAAAATGCAATTGTTTTAAATGTGAATTACTATTGTAGAATTTGTAGATTGAGTTTGATTCGGGTTTGAAGCCGCCGTAGACGTAGTGCAAGGAATTCCTCGTTTCGCTCGCATCCGCTTGGACATCGTAGATCGTGCATACCAAGAACACACTGATGAGGATCAGCTGAAGGAATACGATGATCACGGAATGTTCGCATCGAGCGATACTGTACACGTCGAGTTGCTTCATATTTGCGCTGCTGCAAAGACCACCGCATAAATGGAGTTACGTTACCAAACTACACGGATACGCGATCTGGGATCAACGGGATCAAGGAGAAATTGTCGATTCTTTTATTTACTTATGTAACAAAACATTTTCATATAACAACAAAAGAATTTGAATTTTTCGTTTTTTTTTTTGTTGAAGAAGATGAAAGAACGTTATGCAGTTGATATATATTTTTAAAATGTAGTTGAAAGGTTTTTTTTTTAATGTTATCGTAATTAAAAGGATAATATCAAACAAAAATACGAGAATCTTGTGTTTTATTGAAGGTTTCTTAATTAAATTTTTGGCCGAATTAAATATCCTGCCTCGAATGTAATTACGGTATTGCCCTTTGTGGTTTGCTTTTAAGGATGTTGTATCCAGTTACGCTGAGCGCGCAGCGTGCCCGCACTTTTCAGCCAACGAAAATATTAATTAATCGACGAGGAAGAAGGAATTGTTGTGGATAGAGGGGATGGTGAGGCGCGTAAATATTTTGGTTTCCGTTGTTTTCCTCCGAAGGTGGATGAATGGATGGACGCATCGCCTTTGGGGCTGAAGAACAGAGATGTAACGGACGAGAGTATTTATTTACGTTGTTTCATCATAATTCGCTCTTTTGTGTATTTCCCCGTTTCACATTTCGAAACGTATCCGTACATGTATTTCTTTCCCGTTTCGGAAATTCACACAAATTTGCATGTTTTTAGAGCTCGAAGGTTGCTGCGGGGAATATTAATTAATGAAGTCGGTTTGAGAAAACAAAACAAAAAAATTCTTTAACGTTGAAATTACGTTTCACCCATTAATTACATTCCTAATGCAAACAATTAACATTGTTGTAAATATTGAAATAGCTACCTGAAAAATGAAACACGAAACGATCTGAAACGTTCTGAATTTTATATATAGAAAATTAGCCAAGAAAATTTTGTAATTAAATTATTTAATATAGATAAACGAATATATAATGTAGTGAATTTTAAATTTAAAAAATACTCCAGAATATTTGAAATGAAGTAGTTATAAAAATATGAAAAAGAGCAATCAGAAATAATGTATAAAGTCAAAATTATTAAAAAATATTTATTATTAATCATTATCATTCTTTGTATACAAAAAAAGAGTTTTATTTTACACAAAAAAAAAACAAGTTCTTCCATGACCACCTAAAAAGTTTGATATACGAGTGGTCTAACAAAAGTTCGCTAAGTTGGCATTAATTAATTTGTCTCTGAAAAAACAACAGCTGTTTCTCAATTTGTTAAAGTCTAACGATATTTTATGTCAAATTTCAAGATGATCGGTAAGAATGGATAGGAGAAAATGCAAGATTAGTGATGTAAGATTGGTAGAAATTCCACCACCAACACAACAAAAATTTGTTTTGCCATTCTCTACGAAATTCGACGTCAACTCAAGTCTATGCAATTTTTCCAGGAATGCCAAAATACATATGGAGTGAATGCATCATCACTTGTGACTATTTCCAATTGGTTTAAAAGACATTTCGGACATTTTTCTATGGAAGACGAACCTGCTGAAGGTTGCCCAAAATTTTCAACCGATGATACAAATGTAGCCCTGGCGAAGGCAAATATTGACAAAGATACAAGAGTGATACAGGAAATGGTAGTTGATGAACTGGGCTTGAATGCCATAGCTATGTCGCAAATATTAATTCATCACTTTAGGTTCCAAGATTTTTAATGCTAAGCAAGGAAGAAGACGAGCGGAGACTACAGAGCGCCTACGAGGATAGTGGCAGTGGAGGCCAGCATTAATATGATGTAGGGGAAGTGCCAGAGAGGCAATGACAATCAGCATCGCAGAGTGGTATAGCGATACAGGTCCTGCATGCTGGCGAAGAAGGGGAGAGGTTTTAGTGCGGTAAGAATCCCACAGTACCATGACTCCACCCATGGTCCCTATGTAAGGTTTCCTCTGCTCTACAAAAAAAGGTAAAAGTGGTAGCTGCTATTTCACTCGAAACTGGTAAGAGGGTAACTGCTAAGTAGTACATACGTTACTTTTTACATCACGATCATGCGCCCACTCACATTACTGAAATAATAACCAACAACTTTCTTGCGCCTGCTCTCTAGCATCAATTAAATTCGACAACACCTTATTCTTCCGACCTAGTGCCTTGTGATTTCTGGCTGTTTCCGAAAATTAAAAAAAAAAATAAGTAAATAGTCTTCAGTTTCAATAGAGAGATCATTAATTATAAGTTGAAAAGCTCCATAAAGCCGATTTTGAGGAATGTTTTGAAAAGTGGCTTTACTCACTTAAGAAATGTATTGAAATAGATGGAAATTATGTAGACAAAAGGATGAAAATTAAAAATATTAAAATAAAATTGTTTTTATTTTCTTTTTTTTCAGCCAACTTTTGTTAGACCCCTTGTATATAATACAAATTTAATTTAATTTCAAACTAGATTACTTAGAAAATTATATAGAATATATTGATTATTCGAAAATTAAATTTGATATTAAAAAAATAATTTTTTTATTATTAAAAAACTGAGATAAGAAATTTTATTTATAATTTAGTAATGTCTAATGTCTAATTTTTTATAATTTTATATTAATTATACTTTATACTGAATTATTCTACAAAATTTAATATTGTAAAGAAATTGCAATTTGTACTGGAGATTTCTTTATATAAAGAAGAGAGATTCACTTGTATTAATAAATATTTATATAGGAAACCGTTTACCACAATCTAATGAATTGGAAAAACAGGTCGCAATTATCACTGTATAGTTGCAAAACTCGCTTTGAATTACAATTCTCAAATGCGAGCTATGTCTACATTTAATTGACTTATTTCCTGTATTAATAATGCATCAAACATTGTTTCAATCTTTGAGAACAGATTAATTACGTAAGTTCGCGATGATATATGAAACTCTCAAGGTTGTTTTATTTTTTTTTCTTTTCTCATTTTTATTTGTATTTTCGATGTTCCACATCCAACCTCGAATTTCGTGAATTAATTATGAGAACTGAGGTGTTTATGTCATATGATGGCGCTACGTGTGATAAGTGTGCTAATGTAATTTAGAAGTTTATTGTGGAGACAGCAAAGTGTAAAATGATTGATAACATATATAATGTTTGCATAATGTTTTCTTGTGGAAAAAATATGAATCTAACTATGATTTTAAAAACTGAAAGAAATCTCATATAGTGTGAGTATTGCTCCATTTGAAAACGGACACTAAAAAAGCCTAGATTATATAAAATTATAGAAAATATCATTCATTATATAAAAAAATAATTTTGTAGTATTTTTTTTTCAATTATTTTTAGTTTGAATTGTCGAAATTTCTTAAACAGATAGAATCCGTACTGATAAAAGCCGCACTATGCGAGACATTGCATTATTTTTTTTCGATTAGAAAATTATGAAATAAAATAGTTACAAATGATTATTGATTTTTTTTTTACAAATAATTGAAAACATTTGCAAAAGCTGCACTTTGATATATAACTAAATTTTGCTTGATTACTATGCTTTTTCACAATTTGTTTGTTTGAAAATTCAACAAAACAACATAACAGAATTTTAAATAAAATATTACTTCAGAATATTTAAAATCAAAATGTTATTACTTAAAAATATGAATTTTATTCCTTTACAACAAATACATTTATTTTTATTTTCTTATTATTTTATTTTGTAGTATGGTAATTTGTTGCAATAAATGTTGTTATTATTATTAATTTTATTTTGTTTATAAATATACTAAATTTACACAATTTTATAAGTTATCATCCTCTAGGGTTTCCCAAACTTTGTGCGGTAGTTAATAACACATAATCAATAAAATTTTAAAAAAAGTGGAAAAAATATTCTTTATTTATTTAGTAATTATTTCATTCCAGTTTTCTATGGAACACAAGTGTTCCGCGGTACTCTAGTTTATGATTTTTCAAATTCCTAACCGTGATTCTTCGTGAATTCTTAGTTTTCATTTGGATTTTTAAGTTATTTTTGATAAGAATGTTGAACTATTTTAAAATTAATATACAGTGGAACCTCGATTTTCGAGCGACGTTTCGGATAACGAGTGACGAGGAGAAGAGAAGTCCCGGATTGCGCGCCTGCTACATTATTTTTAAAACTTGTGTACACACAAAAATCCGGATTAAACTCGTTAAGTGAGGTTTCACAAAATTTAATTAGAAAAAAATAAATATGAAAATCTTTTAAATAACTTTCATAATTGTTTATTAAATTATCTTACTTGGATAAATTTCGTGCTCGAATTCATGATCGTAGGTGCCGAAAATTCCGGCAAGAACGATGAGGATGACCTCGAGCGCGAGAAGCGTCAAGACGTCCCTCTTCTTGGAGTCGGCCAAAAGGGCGGGACCGACGGCCATGGTTGATCACAGATGAAGAAAAACGAGACGAGAAGATCTGAATCCACGGATGCGCTCCGACGACTGACAGACGCAGTCCTCATGCAAACACTGCGAAGCGAATCAAGGACTATTTGCTTAACATAAACATATTAATTATATATTTGCTTACCTCCTTTAACACGATCCTTCCGTGACTGAAAAAAGGAAAACAACTTACAGAAAGCGGAAGAATAAACGACCCCAACGTCGAATTGATTTCCTATCAAAATTAAACTTTCATCCGTCCTCAAGTTTCCTTCCAAGAAATGCGAATTTCAAATGCACATTGCTTTGTTGTTTAAGTTTCTTTCTTCTTCTAAATTTTGTTATTTTTTAAAATTTATTTCTTGGATTAAGTTTAAGAACGTTTCGTGCGAACCGTGAATGATTACATTCTGTTTGCTCATCCGTTACTATTGGGCACATTAAATATGCTAAGTGATTTTAATCAAAAGGCAAATATTTACTTGTTCCTTGATAATTGTGAATCGTGCTCCTATTTTACACGTACACTAATCGCCGCAATTGTGCAATAAAACCTCTATTTATTATTTATCCTCTCAACATCTGCCTCCATCTCTCCACTCACGCTTGTCGCATTGACGCAATGGACACAACAGCGCCAACGTATT